ATGGATTAGCTACAACTGTTCAGTATTGCTAAAAAATACAAGTTTAAATAATTTCCTAGTTATAAAGATTATAATTTTTATTTTAAATTAATTAATTAACAAATACTAAAAGCAGTAAAATTATTAACTAACAAGACTAAGTGTTGGAGACAAGATTATGGAGGTCTAGACTTATGATTTTTCCAATTGTCGGAATCCTTCCCCCTACGTCTTCAATAATTTCGCCTAAGTATTCGCTACCGATCGCGAGTACTTTGGGTGTCGTAGCTCTCTCTCGAACAACTACCACAATTTACTAGACGTATTCTCTCAAACTATGCTAGCTGACACTAATTCACCGCTCACTACGATCGCACCATGGTTTCGTTATCTCTAATCCCGACTTTAAACCCTCCATATTGATCTCTCACATACGTTAGGAGTGATGTTGTTCAACAACTACCTACATATATACCCTCTCTCAAGCAATTCATACTAAATAAACACAGTCAATTGATGGTTATTTAATCAACAGCAGTAAACACATAATTGAACAAGTAGAGAAATCTAACGGTTCAATTATATAAAAACATAACGAGAATTTATCTTACAAAAGGTTCCATCAAAACCCTAGATAACAAATTAGCTATTCCTAATAGTATGCAAAACTACAATACTAGAATTCATAGCCATAATGAAAATAGGAAGAAGGAAATGAAAAACTCGTAGAAGAATTCTCCGCCTTGCTCTTAGCATGTTCTTGCCTCCTTGGTCGAATCCCCTCCCTAATGATGTCTTTATAGGATGGGGCCGAAGTTTACACGTCCAAAAATAGTAAGGAAATAAAATTGGCTCAGATAGCATCATCGGCGTGAGGCACTGTCAGGGGCACCAACATTTGTACGCGAGGCACTGTCTATGGCACCAAAGTTTCTGTGTGAGGCACTGTCTGGGGTGCCAATGACAACGCCCTGGACAAGGCCTTGCACTGTCTATGGCCATGACTTTTCATTGCCTTGCACGTCTTCTTTTATTGCTCCATTTTGCAGCTCTGAGATACCATTTCGTGCAACTTTTTTCCAATTCATGTCCAAGCATTCCTAAACGTTAAATAAGCTCTATTAAGCGCAATTGTTGCACAAATTAGCATCCAAACAACAAGCAAATAGGATAAATAACGTCAAAATATATGGAATTATCGTACGACATCAAATTTATATTCGCACAATCACTCTCCCTCATAAACACTATTTAAGGTAAGTTTAGTAAACAATAAAAATGTGTAGTTAATAATTCGTAATCTTTGACCATTGAAAGTATTTATGAAGTTTTAAGGCTTTAGTGGTTTTTCTTTTTTCAAAATAAAGCTTACAACAACATCCAAGTTTAAAACAATTCTTTTCAAAAATAATTCAAAACAAAGTCTTAACGAACCCCACCAACAAACACACACACATAAATCAAACACGCGTACTTATTAAAAAAAAAAAAGTCAAAACTAACATTAATTTTTCCCAAACCAATACCTGAGACTAGGGGTGTACAAACCGAACCGGAAAATCGCACCAAACCGAAAAGTCAAACCAAACCGATTAAAAAACCCGACTAGGTTTGGTTTGATTTGGTTTGGTATTGAGTAAAAAAATCCGAACCAAACCGACATATAAATATATAATTTTTATATATATTTTTAAGATTTTATATAGAATTTTCTTTAAAAAATGTCTAGAAATATTTGGGATTCTCTTGCGGGATATAATATTTAATAGTATATGAAGTGCTCCATATTTATTAACCTTAAATAATGAGCTGTATGATCACTTTCTCATCAAGTATTACTGAAATGCGTCAATCTCTTTATTCTTCCATATTCATATCATATGTTAAGATCTATTAAATTGTTACATCTTTTTGGATGTGAAGTGATCATTATTATTTAGGTATCATATTGATTTTTATGTTTAATTACTAAATTCGGTTAACCTTGAAAGTGTGCATCAACGAAACATTATTGTCAGACGACTAAAAAAGTAACTATTATATGTTACTAAGAAAATATTCTCATAAGAATATTTTAATAGATAATATATATGTGTCAATTTATATTTTTACTAAACATATATTTACTTATAAAAAATTTAACAAAGTAAGATTGAAATAATATTTAAGTAACAAAAAAACCCGAAAAACCCGAAAATTCCGACAAAACCGAATCAATCCAAATCGATATAGTTGATTTGGTTTGGTTTTAATAAAACCCGAACCAACCCGGTCCATGTACACCCCTACCTGAGACCGATCCTCCAAAATGGGGTAATTAACTTATGGAGTACTATAAGTTGCAGTTTTGCTGTACTTCACGTTGTCATCAAAAGAGCACGTCTCATTTTATTACTAAGAATGGTGATTCTCTTAGTCATTCGTGAAAATAGAGAAATACAATTTCATATATTCAACAAGAAAATATAATTATTTCATATGCACCAGGTAGCTTTTTTCTGGTTTCCTAGAATTTACGGCTGCAACATATTGGTGGTCCAACAATAAATAATTTAAGGAACTACTTCGGATTCTGTGAGTACTGTAGTAGCGCAAAAAGAAAACAAATACGCCATTCATTTCAATTTAGATGAAATAATTTGATTCGGCACGAAATTTAAGAAAAACGAATAAGACTTTTAAAATTTATGGTCTTGACAGCTTAAGGGTAAAAGCTTTGTGGAGCCATAATATTTGTAAAATTATAAAAGCTTCTCATTAAGGATAAAATAGATAAAATAAAAAATTGAAAACTAAATTATTTCTAAATTTAAAAATATATCTTTTATTATAAAAGAGACTAAAAAAAAAGTATTTCGTTGAGGGAGTAGGAGGCAGCAAGTGATGGTTGGAAAAGACACATCAAAGAGGTTGGGAGGAAGTAAGTCCACCTGAATGCTACATGGAAGTCTCGTTGTTCATAATTGTTAGAAACTTGGGCCAATGGGCGTGGATATCACATGATGTGTGACTCACTGGTCCCCTTAAAGTTAGGGCACCTTAGCTTCCATCACTTTTGCCTCCCTTCACTTCTCTCTCTCTCTCTCACACACGTTATCACAAAAGTGAATTAGGTCGAAATGATCCAATAAGAAAGAGATCACACATCAAACATATCATCACAAATTTTAATTTTTTTATGTGTAAAAAATTCATATCATCTAATACATTTAAATTTAATAAGTTTAGTTTTTAGAACTTTTTACATTAAATTTATTATACTGTTCAAATTGAATACTTATTGAGATTTTAATAGATTTTTAAATATAAATTCATACTTCATATCAAATGTTATGAGTTCAAACATTAAACTCATAGCCAAAAGGTTACATCCGCCCCTACATCTAACCTGTCCTATTTTGACCAAAATTTCAAGATTACGTTTGGACTTGAGTTGGTTGAATATTAAAAAAGTTAGTATAATAATTAAAATTAAATTAGAAAAGCGTATTTGTGTAGCATCTTTTCTTTTCTTGATTTATGTTAAATTATGCGAAAGATGAAGAATTGGAGTTTCTTTAAATTATCCTTTATTTATCGCCATTCCTTTCTTTATGTACACGGCTGTAGCAGGCAGGCAGTGCCCCCTCTCCCCTTTATTCATGTAGACACTTTTTCTATCAATTAACTAAGAGGTGGTTTGGTAGCCGGTTAGAAGAAAGGTTATTCATGTATAAGGGGTAACATAACTTATACCATGTTTAGTAGGCAATAGTTATTTTGTATATAATTCTGCATAACTAATACCATGTTTGGTTGACATTTTTCAATTATGCATAAATAATACATGTATAAGTTATGAGTCAATCTGTGTATTATTTTATGCGGGGTAGAAGATGGAATAACTAATACATGTATTAGTAATACATGGATAAAATACTGAAATGACAAATTTACCCCTATCACTTTACACATAAGGTTTCCTTATTTCTCTGCCAACCCGTCAACAGGTTTCACTTGCTTTCACTTGCCAACTATATACCTTGTCTTCTCTCATTTTTAAAGAACAAACTAGCAAAAGCAAACTGGAGAAGCCACTAGAAAATGGAAATACCAAAACTAAGAAGTTAAAATCAAATATGTCTAAACTTCACATAGTTCAGTAGTATGACGAAGAAGTGAAAGTAACACCCAAAGTTCCTAACTAAATTATTTCCTACATAAATGGAAAGAGAGAAAAAACAATGCAAAAGAAGGTCAGGGGTATAGTTGTAAACAAGCATTTTACTTTAAAATTTATATAATTTATATCAATTTCTAATACAACAAACCAAATATTTAAAAGAATAATCTCTGCATAACTAATACCTGCATAACTAATCCTTGCATTACTTATCCCTGCATAACTAATACATGTATAACTAATACCTGCATAACTCTAACCGGCAACCAAACGACCCCTAACAAAACTAGAGACAGATACACGTGAGCTGACCCCCACCTAGATACCAACCTTTTTTTCTCTTTCCCCACCTTACACATCATCTCATCATCATTAAACACCTCCAACTGAATTATCATTATCTTTCTCTTTTTGTTTGCTAAAAAGATTTTAAAAGATTTGGTATGCTATCCTTTTCCAACTATTCCCTTCTCTTTTTAATTTTCTCTCTATACATGATGGATAATGCTTCAAGCATGCATCTGTCTAATCATTTATTATCAAGTGGTGCACAACATCATAATATATTCAAAGAATACATTATCATCTTCATCTTCATCTTCTATGTCCAGAATTTTTCAGTCCGTCCAGATTTAATTCCTTTCTGATAATTATACGAATATGTAATTCACCCAAATATCGTTTGCGATAATACCCGAATAATCTTCTCATCACATTTTTGGCCTTTTTGCCTTTGGGAGCTCCTTTGCCCGAATCATGAGACACCAATAATTGAGAAGATAGGAGAAAAAGAAGAAATGTACACGAGTGAAAATTAAAAATGAAGAAAGAAATAAAACGAAGAAAAGTTCAACAGATCTAATATAAATAATAATCCATCCATATGTATTATATTCCTTAACTATTTACAGACTTATAATATGATCATAAGAAACAAATTAAAATGATTGATTAGTGACCTTAATTCTAACTCTACACATACAACTGCACTAGTCAGTTGATTTCATACAAGGCCTTAACCAAAAAAAGTGGCGGCTTTGGGAGATATTCTAAAGATGATATTGATATCATATACTATTAGAGAGTATATTATTTATATATGCCCTCTACTTAACAAGCTGCTGATGGATTGGTGAAGGAATTGTAGAAGTGAGGCTTCTGAGCCAAAGTGAATGGATTCTTCGATGGATTTTCTCCGACGCCGCCGATCCTCTCGCAAGAAGGACACATGGTTAACGTGGCCGCCGGCAGCTGCATGTACAAAGGTTGCGCTATTTTTACAGCCTTCAGTTCTTGCAATTCCTTGTGAAGCCTCCTGTTTTCCTCTGTTAGCGTCTCGCAACATTTTTTCAGGAACTCACAGTCTACCTCTGTTTGCTTCAGCTTTGTTCTGTAAAAAGAAACGATTCCATCAATTTTATGTTTCCTTATTTTCTAATAGAAAAATGTTTTTTTTTTAAATAAAAAAAATCGTTAGTCCTAGCTACCTGGCTCTTCTGTTCTGGAACCAGACTTCAACCTGACGAGGCCTTAGATTCAGATCCCTGGCTAAGTCCTGTTTTTGCTTCTGCATAATTAGAAATTAGTTGTGAGATAGCGTACCAGTGCGTACAGAAATGGATCTATATTATATGTTACGTGTGCGTATACCCATCAAAAGAAATTAAGAAAATATATATATACGGGGGGATAATAAAGAAAAGTAGAAGAAGGAGAGCTTACAGGATTGAGAGTGCTGTGTTGCTTGAAGCTTTCCTCTAAAAGAGCAGATTGTGCTTTACTGAGCCTAAGTTTCTTCCTAGCGTTAGAACCATCATCATCTTCATCGCTAACTCTGGAGGAAAGTCTCTCTACCTCAGTCGTTGTCTCTTCACTACCAGCGTCTCTCTCCCTTTTCACGCTAGCATTAGAGTAGGAGGAAGCTGCACTGTCTTGTCGATACAAATCGGCCGATTGATGATCATTCTTAACCTTCTTAGCTGCCTGCTGCTGTTCATTATAGGTAGGATCACCGGAAAGGCTTAACGTTAGTGACGGTTCAAAGCCAAGAGACGGCCCTTTGCCGGCCAGTAGTATTTTTGTTGATTTCTGATCAACCCTTGTGGAAAAGCCTAATCCTAAAACCAGGCCTGTGTTAGAAATATCATCAAAACTACCCATCTATGTGTGAAAAGAAGACCAGTGAGGAGGAATGTTGAATTGAAAAGAAAAAGAAACAAGTGTTAACTTTAGTTTTTCTTGTGAGGAATGGTGGAAAAGAGAGGAGGAGTTGTGGGATATATATTGTAAGAGACTTGGGGCTACCGAATTAGGCGTAGCGCTTGGGTTTGTTGAAAGGGAAACTGAGGAATAAGACTTTTGTGTCTGTGTTCTGGGGTGGGGTGTGTGGTAAATGGGTGGGTGGGTCTTCTATCTATCTATCTATGATTAATAATCAAAGCAGTGAATAAGTAGTGTGTAGGAATTATTAAAAGTCCATTTTTTTCTCTCCTCATAGGTTGACCATTTGAACCCCCACTACCGTAAGTGTTATCTCTCTCCATTATAATACTAACCAAAAAGCGAGGAAACTAACCCACTCTCCCCAACAATTTAACCAAACAAGGATACGCTCTCTCTCATTACTTGAACTTTTGGAATACCAAAAGAATAAATGCATAGAATGAATTACGTGGATTCACATGGAAATGGAGAATCATTCGTCTTCCCTTTGCCACCCATCACCATACCAATATTGCACTGCTGTTTATCACAAACACTGGCTTTATTCTCTTTCTTACGATTCATTGGCGTTTCTATCATATTTATTTACTTTTTTTTTTTTTACTTTATCCACTATTTACTTATACCATCATATTTCTGATTAATAATACATGTATCAATCATGAACCAACTTGTGTGTCAGCAACCATGAGGCACCCATCACTAATGTTACTAATTAGGTATAGCCCCATAACCGTGTTAAATGTTAATCATAATTCACCTAAGTAGTACTATTTTCTTTGAATTTTTATTGGAATATATATTTAAGTGTATACAGTTTAGAAGTTAGTAAGATATGGGGACCGAATTGTACATGTTAGAAGTTAGAGTGTGTGAGAGTTATTTTAGTTACTTAGTAACTAATTGTTAGTTAGAGGTGTATATAGTCAGTAGTCTTGTACTCAATTAGCTCATTGAGCTATTCTTCAATTCCAGTGATTTGTTCTCCAAGCTTCCTCTGCTAACATGGTATCAGAGCAGGACTCGTCCCGATTTTCCGATGTTGGGCCCCCATAATTGTCCACGCTCCAGATGTCCAGTCCTGGGCATGAGAAGGGGTGTTGAGTCCCACATCGACAATGAAGGGGATGGGTGGTCTCCTTATATGGTCTTGAGCAATCCTCACTTCTTGAGCTAGCTTTTGGGGTTGAGTCAGGCCCAAGGTCCATTTAGCATGGTATCAGAGTTGTGGAGAACGATTCATGGTTGCAAAGGCTCAATTTAGTAAAATCGTTTCCTTACATCTCCTAAATTGAAGTTCATAATTGTGTTCTTCATTTCCCAGAAGATTGATCAAATTTTCTGTAAAATTAGGTCGATTTTATTACTGTTTTTATTTGATTGTGCGATTTAATTGAGTTTGAGGTCACGCGTCAATGGCGGAGAAGACGAAGACCGATTACACTCATCATTTTTTCCTGCAACCATCCGACACCCCAGGACTGGTATTGATTCCAATTCAACTCACAGGATCTAGAATTACGGCCTGTGGAGTAGATCTATGCGCCTTGCTCTAAAAGCAAAGCGTAAGTTAGGGTTCATTACTGGAACATGCATTAAAGCTTCATTTGAAGATGATCTACATGAAGAATGGGAGACATGCAATGCAATAGTGCATTCGTGGATTATTAACTCAGTGTCGAAGGATCTACTGAGTGGAACGATTTATGCGTCAGATGCACATGCAGTGTAGGAAGATCTTAAGGAGCGATTTGATAAGGTGAATCAAATGAGGATCTTTCAATTGCACAGAGGAATTTTGAGGTTATCACAAGGATCTGACTCTATTGCTGTGTACTTTACAAAGCTGAAGGAGCTATGGGCTAAATATGATGTGCTTGTACTTTCTCCGAACTGTGGATGTGTGAAATCAAAGGAATATGTTGCACATTTGCATCAACAGAGGCTGATGCAATTTTTTGGACGGTTTGAATGATACTTATGACCAAGCTCGAAGACAGATTTTGATGAAACACACTCAACCAAGCATATGCTATGATCTCACAAGATGAAAGCCAACAGTCTATGGGTGGTAGTGCAATGGCAGAAAAGGTGGATCCTATGGCAATGCAAGTTGGAAGAGGTCAAGGTTTTCGAGGAAAGAAACAATTCCTACAGTGTGAGCTTTGCCATATGAAGGGCCACAATATGGAGAATTGTTTCAAAATCATTGGTTACCCTAAAGATTTCAAAGGGCAGAAGAATTATCAGACTAGAGAATATAGGACTAAAGGACCTTTCACTACAGTCAACAATGTGGAAGGACCAGCAACCTCCAATTCACAGGGAGCAGCATAGCATAAATGAGATTACTTCTTTACTGAAGCACAGTACCAACAGATACTTCATTTGCTCAATAAGGATTGAAATGTTGATAATCAGACACAAGCAAACATGACATGTAATATTGTATCTCTTGCCTCAAGTGTCTATAATGACAATTAGATAGTCGATTCAGGGGCCACACATCACATAGCATCTTCACTAGAATTACTATATGATGTCAAGAAGGTAGATAGTTGTAAAAGGGAAAAGGTAAGATTACCAAATGGAGACAGTACTGATGTTACACATATTGGTAGTACGCAGATTTCAGCAGATACTAAACTGGAAAATGTGTTGTATGTTCCTGACTTTAAGTTTAACTTAATTTCAATTTCAAAGTTAACCAGGGACTTACAATGTGGTGCTCTATTCCTGCCAAAAATATGTGTCTTTCAAGACCTTTACAGTGGCAGGGTAATGGGGATTGGTAAGGAAACAGGTGGCCTTTATCTAATAAGAGGAAGAAGAATAGAACACATAGTTGCTCATATCAGTTCAGTGGAGAAGAACAAAGATACAGGAGAACTTTGGCACAGGAGATTAGGACATCTTTCATTGCCACTAATGGAGCATGTTTCTTTTTTGCATAATAAAGTAGACAGTGCAATACACAATAAATGTTCTGTATGTCCATTGGTTAAGCAATATAGGTTAAACTTCCCTATCAGTGAGCACTTAAGTACTAAACCTCTTCAGCTTGTTCACATGGATGTATGGGGACCTTATAAGGTAGCTACACATGATAATAAGCATCAATTTCTTATAGTTGTTAATGATTACACTAGAGCAATCTGGATTTTTCTCATGTAATTGAAAAGTGAAACAATCATATTTCTAAAACAGTTCTTTTGCATGGTACAGAATCAATTTGGTGTTTGTGTTAAGACAGTTAGGACAGACAATGGTAAAGATTTCTTTAACATCAGTGGAATGTTTTCTTGCAAAATCATAAAGTAATTCACCAAAGTAGTTGTGTGCACACCCCACAACAAAATGGAGTGGCTAAAAAAAAACATAGACACATCTTAGACACTGCAAGAGCACTGAAGTTTCAGGCTGGAATACCAAGCAAGTTTTGGGGGGAATGTGAGCAAACAACTGTTTATCTTATAAACAGACTTCCTACTAGAGTACTAGGTGGTAAGAGCCCTTTTGAGTTGCTACATGGCAGACAACCCTCACTAACACATCTGAGAACTTTTGGATGTTTGTGTTATGCTGCAAATGTGGTGAAGGAGGACAAATTTCGACCTAGAGCTAGGAATGTTGTTCTAATGGGGTATTCCACTACTCAAAAGGGATATAGAATGTTTGACAGAAAGGCTAACTCTTTCTTTGTAAGCAAGGATGTCATATTTAGGGAATCAACATTTCCTTTTCTCATCTTACAACACCAACAATATGTTCCTACTAATCAATTCCCAAGTCACATAGATGATGCCTTTGAAACAATGCAAAGGGAAGAGATGATCACCATGGATCCAGACCTCGCATATTCAACAAGCAAGGAATTCAATCAAACAGGTTAAGACGCAGATACAACACATGATGCAGATGACAATAGTGGTGATGTAGCAGAATAAGCAGATACCACAGATGTAGCTGATCATGCAGATACACTAGGAAATGTAGATTCACAGATGTCAACTGAATTGGCCCCAGCTGAACTTCCCATAGCACCTACTGCTCCTACTTCCACTGCTCTCCCTAGACAGTCAACTAGAACAAAGAACACTCCTATTTGGATGCAAGATTATCTAGTTGGTGGAAAGAAGAATTCTCAGTGTCCTTATCCAATATCAAATTTCCTTTCTTATGACAATGTCACACAGAATTACAAGGATTACATCATGGCTTTCTCAACAATCACAGAACCACACAGTTTCAGGGAAGCAGTGAAAGATGATAGATGGATACAAGCCATGAAAAAGGATATTGGAGCTCTAGAGAACAATAAGACCTGGGTGGTGGTGGACCTGCCACCTGGAAAATCCTCTATAGGATCAAAATGGGTCTACAAAATCAAGTACAAAGCTAATGGAGAGGTGGAGAGTTTTAAGGCTCGACTTGTTGCCAAAGGATATAACCAACAAGAAGGCCTAGACTACCATGAGACTTTCTCACCAGTTGCAAAAATGGTGACAGTTCGATCAGTCATAGCATTAGCTGCTTCCAAAGACTGGTCCCTCTATCAAATGGAAGTCTTCAATGCTTTCCTACAAGGAGACCTAGAGGAGGAAGTTTACATGGACTTGCCACAAGGTTTTCAAAGACAGAGGGAGAACAAGGTTTGTAGGCTGTGGAAGTCCCTATATGAACTTAAACAAGCATCAAGGCAGTGGAATCTTAAGCTCACAGAAGCTTTACTCAGTGCAGGCTTCAGACAGAGTGCCTATGACTACTCCTTATTCATTAAGAGGTCTGGAAATGAGATAGTGATTATCCTATTCTATGTGGATGACCTATTGCTAACAGGAAGCAGCATAGAACTCATTAATGAAGCCAAGTCAGTATTGCATCAGAAGTTTAAGGTGAAGCATTTAGGTGAGTTAAGATATTTTCTGGGGATTTGTCATCGGGGACATTTAGAGTAATTAGACTGATCCATCTAGGGGCGATAATATACTTTCATAACCGTATTTTATAGCATCCCAATATGACATGGGTATTTTAATCCCGTGCAATTCATGAAATCCTCCTTAAGTCATTACTCAATCGAAGGCCCAACATCACCCTTTATCTATCACAATTACACCCTTATTC